ATTTAATACAGAAACATCTGAGAAGACACCTGAGGGGGGACGTCTGAGAGGATACCCTGAGGGAGGACACCTCAGGGCACAGTTGCAAGGGCTTCCTCTGGGGACAGCTCAAGGGACACCTAAGGGGACACCTGAGGGCACAGTTGCAAGGGCTTGCTGTGGGGACATCTCAAGGGACACCTGAGGGCACAGTTGCAAGGGCTTCCTCTGGGGACAGCTCAAGGGACACCTAAGGGGACACCTGAGGGCACAGTTGCAAGGGCTTGCTGTGGGGACATCTCAAGGGACACCTGAGGGCACAGTTGCAGGGCTTGCTGTGGGGACACCTGAATGCAGGGCAGGGCCGGTTCCAGTCAGCGCAGCCGGGGCCAGTCGCTTTAGTAGACAATTTATTTTGATAAACTTGCTCAATAACAAAAATACAAGTGAAGAAAATTATGTTCATTTTATACAGTTTGTATTAACATTTGTTCGGAAATCATTAATTGAAAAAATGCTCTAAACCAATTAGAAAACAACCCTCAGTAAAGGCCGGGGGCGCAGGCAGTGGGTCCGGCCTCGAGCGGGAGCAACGTGTGCCCAGGCAGGACAGCCCGCCTGCAGACACCGTTTCCTTCATTATGTTCATCCTTCACAAAGGTTTTAAAGGACAGCTTCCATTTTCCTGTGTGTGTGTGTCAGGGCAAACAGTAACCTACAGTTGTGTTCTGGAGTGGTTCAACAACGGCTCAGAAACACAGGGATGGCAGGAGAGCCCAAATCTGGCGGTGCCAGCTCGGCCAGGGGACAGGGTGGTGTGGCTCACTACCAGTGTCTGCGGGACACCGGTATCGCTCTCCAGCAAGAGTAACAACAGAAAACCACGTTAAATGGTCAGACTGGTGTGCCCAGGGAAGCACACCCTCCCCAGGTCCGAGACAAAAAGCTTCCAGGCTATTATTTCAGCTGAGCTCAGCAATGAGATTTACACAGACAAATTAACTAGTTTCCCTTCTGAAAGTATTTCAAGTTTCCAATCTTACATATTGTTAGCCAAATAAATGACAAGTGTGCACAAATTACATTATGATGGCACATCAAACCTCTGGGGGAATGTCGAAGCAAAAGACTAAATGAGATTCTCTAGTGACATATGAAATGAGCTGTCCTTCAAAAAGTTAAAAATAATGGCTGGCAGAATCAGAAAAGTTTATGTAAACACTCAACACAAATATGGGATTACCTTTGGAGAAGATTCATATGGAACCATTTGCTTTTCACGAACTGAAAAAGTCTACAGATGTTTAGGCATGTTCAATACGAACTTCCTGTAGTTTAAAACAAAACCTTGTGCAAATAAAACCTATAAATAGTCTTCAGCAGATTTTACAGTGATGCTCTTAGGTATGAAAAGAATGCACACAACTTTAAAAAAAAAGTAACGGACATAAGTTTGACAAATGATTGCACCATAAAACAGTGTTTTATATACAGTTTACAAGATTTGATTTTCTTCTATAAATACTGTACTATATAGTACTTAGTGACCTTATTAAAAGCAACTGTTGACAGCTGTCTCTTCAATTATTGGGTTGGGCTTTTTTTAATTGCAAATGGCTGCATCTATTTCTGGACTTAAAATGCTCAAATATTTAATAAATCTATTTGTTAAATCTCTGTTATCATTTAATAATTCATAGCATTGGCAGATCAGATAAATTTCCAGTCAGCCAACCACAGTCTGGGTATGCTCCAAGATAAGTGTTTGGGTTTTTTATTTTTATTAAATGATGATCCATTTAATCAAAGCCTAAATCCATATGATGTTACTATAACTGAAATAAATAAGTTGGGGGGAGCAGGGAAGGAGAAGAAATCTTAGCAGCTGAGAAACCCTCCCCACCCCCCACCTGTGTTCCAGTTACAAAGATCTAGAACTATTTACAAGTGTGACATTTCTGAAAAAAATAAGAGCCTTTTTTTTCAATATAATTTATAATCTAAGTTTTAGTGAATACTTTAGCTTAGGACACAGTAGTGATAACACCAAAATTTTGACACATATCAAGCAGCTGAACCCTGCCTTTTATCTCCACCAACATCACTAGGGACCTCAGACTTAAATTAGGAACCAAATCATATTTAAACCACTACTTCAAAGTAGGTGCCTGGCTGTATTTACAGATTAGTATACTTTAGAAAAATTTAGTTATCCATAAACACTCCATTTTACCTGTGAATGAGCTGACTGGAAAAGAAAAAGTTGCTTATGAACCATTCCAGTGACAAGTTTGTTCAAAAATTTCAAAAGAAAAAAGACTTAAATCAGCAAATAGTATTTTTGTATTAAAATACCTTGGGAGGGGGAGAGGGAAGAGGTGAGAAGGACAGGGACCCACTAGGGTCTGAATGGCACACAGTTTAAAATAATTGTGCAAATTTTGTTATTTTCCAACACTTCAGCTTATCTGATCAGTGATTAATTTGGGAACTGCTGATTATATTTCAATAACCACCTCATTCTAAAATACACTTTCCCTAACAGTTTAGGAAAGTGTCTATTCAGAAATGCAGTTCCCCCAGTAAATGCAATGAAACAGCGCTCAAAACGGATTATTGTTTTTGTTTTCATAAAGAATCCCAGGTAAAACATGGATTAACTGGAAAACAAATATTGATAGTGCAGGCAGCTTCCCTGGAACACCAAACTACTTTCTGCAAGGTTAGACCAAGTAGTGAATTAAGACGTCTGTGGGTTCAATGGTTTATCCATGTGCTGAAAAGTAAAACTACTTTTAGTGAGGAATATTTACTCCAAATTTGGGTGGTCATTAAATCCACATTTAAAATAACAACTTTAGTAAACAAGGCATATATTTTTCAATACTTATATTGCTCATTTTTTTGGCAAAGATGAATTAATACTCAAGTGAAAATAAGTTCATCCATCTTTGCAGTGGAATAGTATTTGCATTACTTTAAACATTGCATTTGACATGTGCTAGAGAAATGCTTACCCATGGTAAAATGCTGTGCTTGAACATGTATGAATGCTAATGTAACAATGCAGTAGAAAAAGAGATTTTCTGTACAACAGTTGCTAATAATTTAAATAGTGTCAGTTTCCCAAAATTAGGATTTTAACTTTACGGCATGACATGATCTCACCTTCTACCCTCATATACAAATAAATTACCATAAAAAGAATTTTAGCTTAACTTAAAATTGCACCTAGAAAGGCATGGGATCGTTTGTACCTATTACAAAAAACTGTTAAAATCAAGGGCTGCTACAAAGAATGAGGTAAACTGAAGACTCTCAGCTATGTGGCCTTCAGAGAAATGGCTTTTTTCTATTGAGTTCTAGTTTTGCACACCACAGTGTTTTGCTAGCAAAGCGTTCTGAGTTCTTTTCCAGGAACCATTTGTGTGTATATACATATATATACATATGTGTATATACACACACACACACATACACACACACTGTATACTGCATCAGCAAAATATATATATATATTTATATATATATTTATATAAATATAAGGAAGAAATCCCCCTTTAAAACGTTCCTTAGTGTTTCCTAGGGCTTCTGGGGGAGGAGGGGATGTATGTCTTCTTGCTGTTACATACATTTAGAGAACATGTTTTGATCTATTGGCTTCTTGGTGCAGTAATGCAAGATTGATCCACATTGGTGCCAAAGGCTTTGCTCATCAGAAGGAAGATGTAAAACACTAATCTCCTAAACAGCGAGGCCAGCCTCACTTGAATTCCTCTGCAACCCTCTGGTCTACCACAGAGTTCATAAATACTTTGACTTCCAAATTGTTAGACGTTAAAAACAGGAACAGTCCAGTAACATGGGGCATTTATGCTTTTCAGTGTAAAGCATTCTTCACTAGTTCCTATCACAGTGCAGACCTGACTGCATTAGAGTATGCTCAGGAGATTAGTCCACGTTGTCTGTATTTGGTTATGGGAAAGGCTCTCCTTTTTTTCATCCAAAGTGCATAGTGAGAACAAGTCAAAGCATTCCTCTTTTCAGTCAGTGTTTGATAGTCTGATTTAGGCATCCTCCTGAGAATGCAATTCTGATGTCTTGTTCTTTTCCAAAATAAAGTCCTGCAGTTCAGACATTCATCAGCCAGGTAAACAAACTTTGCCAGCAAATAGAAGTCCCACTATTGTAAAGAAAATTGATAAGACAAACAGTACATACGAAGACCCAACCACTGTGTTATTGGGTAATTTATATGGTTGA